TGTTTCGACCTTAGGCTTATTACTTCAGGTTAGGTTCACTACACATGTAAGTTCATTCTGTTGGATATTTTATTGATTTATAACAAATTATGTCTTCAATCGTTTAAAAGTGACTCAAGAGGCTTTGTATTAATGCATTTTGAATATTAACCTTTTATATTCAGGAAAGACAACTGTAACTTCAGAATTGCAAAACTACATTCAGCTAATCTAAAAAGAGGTTGTAGTCAAAGCTGATGAAAGAACCACAAAGAAATCTATTTTTTCACTGTTGGAAGAAGACAAGAGCAATGAGGTCCGTTACCAAAATATCTCATGAACCGGTGGGTGAATTAATCAAACCCAGAGATTAATCACTAGATGTACATCTAAAACTGATTAATTTTAAAGCTAACCCGATTCAATGAGATTGCTAGAACCAGCCTACCCTTGAAAACGCATAAATGTCCTCAGTTCAGTCAATTTTACATCTATTGTGTCAAATTTATGTGTAGATTTCTCTCGAGTCCTTCACAACATACTTACGAGTGCAATTCCCTGCAAGATATTTGTCTAAAGTCTTTGTTAGCAAAATATCTCATGAACAGCTCAAATAATTTTAATGAAACTTTCAGAAAGTAATCATTGGATTTCATCTACAAATGACCAACATTTGAAATCAATCCAATTCAAGATGGCCACCACTGCTAATTGACCATCAGTTAACACAAAAGTGGCGGGGTCGTCCCTCGGCGCCTGCAGTTGGCTGTCAGCGGCTATGGGGGGCTCAGCGGACTTGTGGGTGGGGTGGCCGTCGCTCTGGGGGGAGTTCTGCCCAGCATTCAGGCGGTCCTACAGTCCAGGGGAACCAAGAGGCCAGCCGAGTCTGGGTGGACGGATCCGACGGCGTCTGCACCCAGTTTCTTAGGATCCACTGTGGGATGGACCTTTACAAGAGATCCTTCCTGCCTACAGCCATCAGCATCTATAACATCTCTTAATGAAATGGGGATAACGAGTTACAACAACAAAATCATTTCCCTCTGGGATTAATAAAGTATTATTGAATTGAATTGAATAACTCAAATATCACAGATACTGAGCTAAAATTTAATAGTTAAGTCGTTAACTGTATATTTTATTTGAGATATCTCTTGATACTGCATGAGATTTTCTTTTCAAGGTTTGACCCAAATCATTTATCAACATAAGACAACCTACTAAAACTCTTGACATAAAAGGTGGCAGGCAATATGCATTACTTTAAGGAATTCCAGTCCTTAAATATATTGCTGCAATGGCCAGGGTCAGATTAACACTTAGCTATACCTTGCAACAATCTTCAAGGGCCCCATCATCATGACCCCAGAATCACCATCATCTGGCAAAATCGTAATACCATACCATACCACTTTATTTATAAAGCACTTAAAACAGCTACAAGGCCAACCAAAGTGCTGTACAGACAAAACAACAGGTAACACACAAAGCAAAACACAAAATGAAGTAAATCAGAATATAGACAAAAAACGATGCAGATAATGACAACAAACCAGTGTGGAGCATACAGGATCAAAACACAGATCATCTTGTGTTGAAAGCTACTGAATAGTAGTGAGTTTTTAAACGAGACTTGAAAACAGATAGGGAGGGGGCCAGTCTGACCAGCAGAGGTAACTCCTCGTTCCAGAGTCTTGGTCCTGCTGCAGAGAAGGCCCTGTCACCTCTGCGCTTAAGACGAGTTCCTGGAGCTGTGAGGAGCAACTGGTCCGCTGACCTCAGGGAGCGTGGTGGGAAATACGGTTGTAGCAAATCAGAGGGGGGGGTGGGTGTGCGCGACACTGTTCAGTGATTTGTAGACATACATGAGTATTTTGAACTGGATTCGAAAGTGAACCGGTAACCAGTGCAGTGAGGCCAAAACTGGTGTAATCTTTTGCCTGTACTGGTTAAAAATCGGGTTTCTGCATTCTGGACCAGTTGTAGTTGTGCAATGGAGGTCTGACTTGTACCAAACAGGAGCTAATTGCAGTAATCAAGCCTAGATGTAATGAATGCATGTATTACTGTCTCCAGGTTCTTTTTGGACAATATGGGCTTCAGTTTAGACATCCGCCTCTGTTGGAAGAAGCATGATTTAACAATCATGTTTACATGATTGTTAAGTTTCAGGGAAGGGTTCATTATCACGCCCAGATTAGTGATTCTTTGTTTTTCTGACAATAAATAATATACACTTAAAATTCTAACTATCAGATGTATTTTGATGACAAATATCCAAATGCTCATAGAATTATGCTATGTCCTCTTGTTAACTCAAATCATCAACACCGATTTAAGCACACTTTGAACACCATATGACACCATATGTGTACATGGTTAGCAACAAAGTGGTCATTGGTGTCAGAAGCATTTGTAATGTGAGGGGGGGGGACATGGATGGGGTGGTCTGGGAATCCTCCCACAGAAAATTTTGAATAAAGTAGATGCCATTTCCTGCATTCTGGTGTATTTTAACAAGTTGTTTACAAACCGGATTCCAAAAAAGTTGGGACACTAAACAAATTGTGAATAAAAACAGAATGCAATGATGTGGAGATGGCAAATGTCAATATTTTATTCGTAATAGAACATAGATGACAGTTCAAAAGTTTAATCTGAGTAAATGTAACATTTTAAAGGAAAAATATGTTGATTCAAAATTTCACAGTGTCAACAAATCCCAAAAAAGTTGGGACAAGTAGCAATAAGAGGCTGGAAAAAGGAAATTGAGCATATAACAAACAGCTGGAAGACCAATTAACACTAATTAGGTCAATTGACAACATGATTGGATATAAAAAGAGCTTCTCAGAGTGTCAGTGTCTCTCAGAAGCCAAGATGGTAAGAGGATCACCAATTCCACCATTGTTGCGAAGAAAGATAGTGCAGCAATACCAGAATGGTGTTACCCAGCGTAAAATAGCAAAGACTTTTAAGTTATCATCATCACCTGTGCATAACATCATCAAAAGATTCAGAGAATCTGGAACATTCGCTGTGCGTAAGGGTCAAGGCCGTAAAACAGGAATGCCACTATCAAGGAAATAACAGAATGGGCTCAGGAATACTTCCAGAAAGCATTGTCAGTGAACACAATCCACCGTGCCATCTGCCGTTGCCAGCTGAAACTCTACAGTGCAAAGAGGAAGCCATTTCTAAGCAAGCTCCACAAGCTCAGACGTTTGCACTGGGCCAGGGGTCATTTAAAATGGAGTGTGGCAAAATGGAAGACTGTTCTATGGTCAGATGAGTCACGATTTGAAGTTCTTTATGGAACACTGGGACGCCATGTCATCCGAACCAGAGAGGACAAGGATAGCCCAAGTTGTTATCAACGCTCCGTTCAGAAGCCTGCATCACTGATGGTATGGGGTTGCATGAGCGCTTGTGGCATGGGCAGCTTGCATGTCTGGAAAGGCACCATTAATGCAGAGAACTATGTTCAGGTTCTAGAACAACATATGCTCCCATCTAGATGTCATCTCTTTCAGGGAAGACCCTGCATTTTTCAACACGATAATGCCAGACTACATTCTGCAGCAATCACAACATCATGGCTACGTAGAAGGATCCGGGTACTGAAATGGCCAGCCTGCAGTCCAGATCTTTCATCTATAGAGAACATTTGGCGCATCATAAAGAGGAAGGTGCGACAAAGAAGGCCCAAGACGATTGAACAGCTAGAGGCCTGTATTAGACATGAATGGGAGAGAATTCCTATTTCTAAGCTTGAGAAACTGGTCTCCTCTGTCCCCAGACATCTGAGTGTTGTAAGAAGAAGGGGGGATGCCACACAGTGGTAAAAATGGACTTGTCCCAACTTTTTTTGGGATTTGTTGATGCCATGAAATTTGGAAACAACCGATTTTTCCCTTAAAATTATACATTCTCTCAGTTTAAACTTTTGATCTGTGATTTGTGTTCTATTCTGAGTAAAATATTAGATGTTGGCACATCCACATCATTGCATTCAGTTTTTATTCACAGTTTGTTTAGTGTCCCAACTTTTTTGGAATCCGGTTTGTACATCTAGTTTTACATAACGGGTACATAAGTAACACTTAGAATTAATGACACAACAAGAAGTAGCCTGACCAACAGCTCTCCTTGTGTGAATAAAGCACACTCCACTTCTCTCACACATCCTATAGCCACAGTTTAAGAAACAAGTTAGGGAAGAAAAAAAATCACTAGCCAATCTGAAACAATAATAATATAATAAAAAGCAATGGCTCAGATTTGACGCAAACCTATAAAATCCACAAATTAGAAGCATTTTTCAACCTGTATGTTGAATTCTACTGTCAATGGTTAAAAAAAAAAAAGTGTTCAACTTCAGAGCAAAATCTGTAACGTGTTGAGGGTTAAATATTTATTTAAAATAAAATAAATAATTAATTAATTACTCCTAAACTAGATTTGTCTAAATATATAAAAATGAAATATACTTTGCTCATGTCAAAGTGCGCATGGTTGTTATCTTTAAGATAAGATGTGTTACATTGTGTAACCTAAGCTGTAAAACGTGTTCAGTTGGACAGTTGTTTTAAGGGGAAGAAAACAAAATGACATTGATTTTTTAATGAGAAAAACAATGAGGATATTTATACGAGTTGGAATAATTGGAGCCTTTTTACTGTTGATGTACTTAATGATTTCTATGAGTGGGAGTTGGAGAGTAAAAAGGTCTTTTCCGGAAGGAGTCACTGATCAGAAAGTTGTGAGTGGAAAACTGGACAGGATTGAGCAGACTCTAAATAAGCTAGGTGAGTAAGATTGCAGAACACATTTAAATAAATAAATTAAAAAAAAGATGTAAATGTAAACTGCATGATTTGTCCATTTTATTTAAATACATTTAGAATGAACCACTTCATTTTTGTTGTAGAGGTAAGGATTGAGCTAGAAACAATTACCGGTAAACGTGCAGTGATTTAAGGTAAAGGAGACATTCAAGCAGCAACAAGACCGGTCTTCGTTTTTCCAGTTCTACCATAACTCATGTTACATGTTGAACCGTACAACATGAGCTGTTTGCTTCAGTTCCTCACTTGTTGGATTATTTTCGAACATATAAATTTCAAGTACGAGTATTTTTTCCTTACAATTAAATAAATACAGCATGTGCTGAGATTTCTCACTAAAATTGTGTGACACTGCTCCATGAACGTCACGAGATCTCAATTTAAGATATATAATAGTAAAACGTCTGTTTTAAGCAAGCAATAGGCATTTTTTTAAATAGCTGTTTGATGCCCTGGTCAAACTACAAGCTAGAACCAAAGCACTTTTATCCCCTGTCTTTTGAGCCATTTAGCTTATTTTAGGAAGTGTTGTGGGGAACTTGATATCACTCCTACCATTATTATCATAACCATTAAAGTGAAATTTTATTCATGTTTATTCAGCCTGATAGTTCACAATAGGACTCACAGCAAGTCAAACGCATCTATCACTCAGAAGCATGTTTTCCTTTCAAATACTAATTGTCCCAGCCTGCAGTTCTGTTGATTCTAACCATACAAACAATATTTGATTTCTCTGAAACATTTTGGCTTTATAAGGTTTTCTAAGGATTCATTCACTGTGTTTTCCTAATGGTTACTTTAAGAATAATGTTTGGTACATATGCTTAATAGAAAACAAAACATTATTTTTAGTTCATCTTCCATCTTCTGTGCATTTTATATAAAAAATAAAACAATCGGAATATTTAATTTCTTGCTGAAAATTAATTCAGATGTGTTGTGACAACACGAGATAACAGTACTGACAGAACAGTGTTAAAGTTTCACTTTATGAAATGTGTAGCTTCTAATGATAATATGCAGTGACAAAGCTCTGACTTCCAACTTTTGAATGCACCGTGAATTAAAGTCAAAGACGAGAACAACTGATGAAAATAATAGTTTTAATCCATTGGGGGCTTCAAATAAAGTTTTTTTTTAATTGGTATTGAGTTTATATACTCAAAATTTTGTCTATATACACCAAATAGGGAAATTTTTCACAAAATGTCAAAGTTTTTTTTTTTATCTGCTATCAAAATAAATAGTTATAAATACATACATACATACCATACAGTACATACCATACATACATACATACGTACATACATACCATACAGTACATACCATACATACATACAGTAATGTACATAATTCATTAGACATTCAGACGCTTAAAAAAATTGAATATTATTGTGTCATATGCCAAGATGTAAATTTTCACTTACACTCTTTTGGAGATAATAAAACTTGAATATTTTTGATTTTCAAATTTCCTCCAAAGCAAAGCTAGTAGAGGAATATGGCCAGAAGAAATTCACTGAAACAGATCCCCTCGACGTTGACCAGGAAAAAGAAGAAAAACAGCAAAAACCTGTGATTCCAAAACTATACCCAGACTCCTACCTGTTCACAAGTTGGGGAGATGATCTGTCACAAGAGGAGCAGAAGGAGGCTGAAGCTCTCTTCCACATTTATGGATACAATGCCTTCCTTAGTAACCGGATCCCACTCAACCGGAAACTTCCAGATTCGAGAGATTCCAGGTAAATTTTGCTGTAAGGAACAAACAACAAAAGTTTTACCTTCTAAAACATTACATATCTCTCACTGCTTAGATGTCTGGTGAAGAATTATCCTACAGACTTACCGAGCATCGGTGTGGTGCTGATCTTTGTAAACGAGGCTCTTTCTATCATTAAGAGGGCAGTAGAAAGCATCATCACCCACACTCCAAGGCACCTGCTCAAGGAGATCATTCTGGTGGATGACCACAGTACTTATAGTGAGTTTAATAAAATCTCATAATAAAACATGTTAAAGTACCTGAGAAATGTGACAGTTTGCCATCTTAGAGACTTTGGCACAGTGTGATCAGTCACAAAACTGTTTTTCTGTTTATTATTATTAATATTATTATTATGCATGTATTTTGCTATCTAAATACGTCTGCATACTTTATGACATTTTAGCCATTTATATTTCTGTGTTCAGGAAAAAAGTTGCTATGACTTTTTGTTTGGGGGGAGGTAACTTTTATGCTTTTCAAAATATTTCAAATCATTAACTAACATTTTACCCATAAATATTTATTTTTCTTTCAAAAACTTTGTACCCTCTATTGTTGTCTTCTTTTGCTACTTTTTTAGCTACTGTTTTGCTACTTTCATTTAGCGTTTAGGTATAGCTTTTTTTACTTTTAGATTTTACTCATACGTTTGTTACTTTTAGCTTAGTTAGTCTTTTGCTCGTTTTATCTTTTAGCTAACATATTGCTTCATTTATTGGCTAGTCAGCCCATTGCTACTTTTAGCTTGTAGCTAGCATTTGATGTATAGCTAACATTTGACCAAGCTTTCAGCTAGCCTACTTTTAGCTACACTTTAGATACTTCAGTTTTTAGCTATCCTTATGTTACTTTTATATAACCTTTTGATGATTTAGCTAGCATTTGGCTGGTTTTAGTTTTAACTAGTATTTTGCTTCTATTAGCTTTTAGCCAGTTTTCTGCTCTTTTCAGCTTTCATAGTGTACTGTTACGTTTAGCTTTAACAAATAAGTTTCAGCTTTTTCAGCTAATTTCAACAAAGTTATTCAGCACTCAGCATTCACACTGCATTTAGACAGAAAATGCATTTTCTTGAATTAATCTGTTTTCTGTTTCATGTCCTGTACAGATGACCTTGGGAAACCGTTAGACGACTACATAGATCAGATTAACAAGGAAAGGCCTGGACTCGTAAAGAAAATTTGGCATTTGCAACAGATGGGTTTGTCCCAGTCCCGGATTACGGGCTGGGAGCACGCCACCGCTGATGTCGTGGCCATTTTGGATGCTCATATTGAAGCTACACAAGGATGGTATGAATAAAACAGCAGCCACTGCTTATATTTTAACATGTTATGGCTACCAATAAGGTATATATAAAGTTAATGAATATAATATAATCTCAAAATATGACTAATACCTCTTCTTCTGAACCATTTTCTTATATTATCCTCTTCAGGGCAGAACCTCTGCTGGCTAGGATTAAAGCTGACAGGACTGTAGTGGTGTCCCCTGTATTTGATAAAGTTCATTTTGATGATCTACATGTAGAAAGATACATCCCATCCTCTCATGGCTTTGACTGGGCGTTGTGGTGCATGTACGAGTCCTTCAGCCCTGACTGGTTGATGATGAGCGATGAATCACAACCTGGAAAGTATGTGCAAATAAACAATCTAACCTGATCACTGTATGGCCTCATGGAAAATGATATATTCTCAGTTATGTATGGGGGAATTTTACGGACATATTACGAGAGCGTACATATGTAGAAAGTCAAGCAATTTCAGCTTCTTTTGTCGGTTATCAGTAAAATATTGCTTTTAAATTTGTCTCACGACATGATGCATGCTGTATTTCCTTCAGTATAAAAAGTGTTTTCCCACCAGAAACGTAGTCTAAAAATGATAAAATACATTTAATGCTCATAACAAATCTAAATATTAAATAAACTTTTGAGGCTTTTAACTGTGTCAAACGTTCACAGACATTGCCTGTCTTGTGTAAAAGTCAGGTGGTACAACTGAAGCGATGATGTCTGTTTCATGCAGGAGTCCTTCTGTTATGGGAATCTTTGCAGCAGACAGGGATTTTCTGGGGGAAATCGGTGGACTCGATGGTGGAATGACAGTTTATGGAGGGGAAAACGTTGAACTGGGGATTCGTGTGAGTGCAGCTGCAAATGTTAGCAGTAATAAAAAGCTTTGATGTGATCACTAATGACCTCTGATCTGTTTCTTGGTTGCTCAGGTGTGGCTGTGTGGAGGAAGCGTTGAGATTGTGCCGTGCTCCCGGATAGCTCACATTGAGAGGGCTCATAAACCTTACGCACCTGATCTCGACCCAGCCATGAGGAGAAATGCATTGAGGGTCTCAGACATTTGGTTGGATGAGTACAAGAGGAATGTGTTTATTGCCTGGAACATTCCTCTTCAGGTTGGTTGCTCCACTTCATACTCGAAAGTTTAATTTCTGAGAATGTAAAACTTAATCTTTAATAAAGGCCTAGTGCTCCATTAAGGGATGTATATCGCCTGCTGCCTTTCAAACCAGAGTTTTAAACTAAGAGCAGAGAAGGAACAGACATAGCGGTTTTGGTCAAACCTTGTGAATGTGAGATTTCAGAGTATATTTCGTGAATAACTCTCAGCTACTACCACACTACATTTGAGCTCAGTCTCTGTAAAATTGTTTGCTGAGTTATGGTCATCTTTGTGTTTGTAAAGTTCAGTTGGCTGTGGCAGCCATCTTGAATTGGGTTGACTCCAAAAGTTAATCAGCTGTTCATCCAATGGTTACTTTCTGAAAGCGTCATTAAAACCAATTGGAGAAATTTCATTGCCTGCAATTTTTTTTTATTAACCTTTCTTTGACAAGGCAAATCCCACTGAGATCACAGATGTCTTTTGCAAGGAAGGCCTGAAGTCAGCCTAACATGCATGTACCCGGAGAAAACCCACACAAGCACGAGACGAACATACAAACTCCACACAGAAAGAACCCGAGAATAACCGGGAATTGAACCCAGGACCTTCTTGCTGTGAGGCAACACCACTGAGCCATCGGGCTGCCCAAATGTAGTGTGAATGCTTATTGCAGAAGACCTTGTTGGAAAAACAGCTGAAATTAGCTGAACTGGAAGACAAAGCCTAAGTTAGCAGAAGAAAGTAGAAGGAACATATATTTGCTGAATTAGAGTTAAATATGTAGAAATGAGCACAAAAATGAGTTAATTAGTAAAAAATAAAAAAAAGCTGCAATTAGCAACAAAAAAAAAAGGTTGAAAACTAGCTGAAAAGTCAGAAAGAAGCCTACATTACAAGGAGATGTAGAGAGCACAGTTGTGCCCAATCAGGCTGAAAGAAGCAGAAATGAGCACAAAAAAGTGGGATATATCTGAAAAATCAGAAATTTGGGAAAATCTGCTAAAGGCAGAAAGAAGCTTAAGTTACTATAAAGAAATCTAGAGAGAACAATTGTGTCCAATTAAGCTGAAAGAAGCAGAAATAAGAACAAGAAAGTGGAAAAATTATCTGGAAAAGTTTAAATTTGCACAAGAAAAAACAGCTGAATAATAGCTAAAGAAGCCGAAAGAAGCTTAAGTTACCAGAAGGAAGTGGAGAGAGCACAATTGTGCTCATTTACACTAAAGGAAACTGAAATTAGCATAAAAAAGTTGATGTCTGAAAAAGCAGAAATTTGCAAAAAAGAAAACAGCTGAATAAAGCTAAAAAAAAAAGGCTGAAAGAAGCTAAAATTACTAGAAGCAAGTGAAGACCAAATTTTTTGCTGAATTAGGCTGAAAAAGGTTTAAATGAGTGCAAAAAATGTGGAATTAGCTGAAAAAGCTAAAATTAGCATAAAACAAAATAGCAGAAATAGCTGAAACTTCAGAAATAAGCTGAAAGGAGCATAACAAGCTGAAATTAGCAAAAATAAGT